CTCCCTTCTCGCTTGCGTGATGAGATCAGAAGAGACTTTTGGAGCCCGGTGCCAAATTCCAGTCGAAATACACACCCCTTGCCGCTGTCCTTCAGGGTTTGGACAACAGACCTGTTTTCCAAGTTCCATACCTTGATTTCATTATGGTCTGCGCCTGCTAGGATTTGTTGCTCCGTTGGATGAAACACCACTGGCACTACCATAGTGGAATATCCTTCAAATGTTACCTTCTCCCATTCAGGGTGCCACCGCCACATAAAAATATTTTTCTGACCATCAAAACTAGCCAACAAGCAAGGCAAGGTCGGATGGATTGCCATTCGATAGGCCATGTTGTCATCACTTTCTGTGGTTAGTACCTTTATACACCGCAAGTTCGACCCTTGTGTTTCATACACCTCAAAGCTTTTCAATCGCCTCACCAGAATCCAGTCTTTCTGCGCGATGAATGCAATTGCCCACGCATCTTTGACTTCAGGGATCACCCAAGAGGCAACCCGTGTTCCGTCCTCGTAGTTCCACACTTGCACTGAGTTGCCGTTAGGTGCGAATATGATCCATGGCTTAATAGGATGCATCAAAAAGCAACTTATATGTGCTACCACCATCCGAAATGTCATTCCCTTTCCTCTCAAATTTTGGAGCCAGTTGAAGCTCACCACTTCCAAAACCATCCTCCATGAGGATGACAGTTTTGGGAGACTCCAATTATTGCTTCCGCCAGCAGGGACACCGGTAATCAATTGCCTGCCAAGTGGTACTCTTTATCCGTGCTCAACCTTCCAGTCACGTCACAAAAGAAATTCGTAACTATAGCAGACAAAACACAACAAACTCATCGTCAGCAGTTTAACACCGGCCAGGGTTCAGCCAGAGTTTGGCGGGAAACCAAACTCTTCAGCCTGAGAATAGGTTTGGGTTTGATAAACAGAAATGTTCGGTTCACTTTTTTTATTCATTATGGATAATTGTCATTAATTGGTGATCTATTTTTTATTATTGGTTACTGTTTATTTGCTGATTATTTAATATCTATCTGTATTTAAATCACCACTACCTCCTACCGTCTTTTCGCCCTACCTGAATTATGGTGCGTGCGCTCCGGTTTTTGCCGAGCCTGGAGTGTGAAGGGCCCCATTCAATTTTTATTTTCTGGTACCCACATAGAAACTGATTTTTTTTTGGGTGGGGGGGGGGCGCAAAAGAAAATCAATTCTTTTTTTTTTTTTTTTGGCGCAAAAGAAAATTTGAGTTTGCGCCTGCGGTGGAATAAAAAAAAAAAAAAAAAAAAAGCTTCCGACTGTGAAATAGGTTGGATAGTATGGATCATACATTGTGTAAGGAAAGCGGGATCTACACCAAGACTGTGTTTTTCCTCTTTTTTCCTCTGATGTGCAATGCTGTGCAAAACTTGTGCAAAACTTGTGTACGGGAATGCCTGTTGCTAGTGGTAATTGGAGCATACAGTATAGTAGAATGTGATATGGATATTCTGCAATATTCTACAATATTTGCTTTTTCTGAGGTCATTGTGACTTCGCCTGTGGGTTCGGCAGGTGATGCCGTCCCATTGGGGGAGCACAACAACATTGTTAAGGGACCCCGGACCCGGTTTCCGGCTTTTATTTCAAAAAAAAAAAATATATATATATATAATGACGATTTGTGACGATATATATATATGACGATATATATATATATATATATATATAATATAAAAAAGGAAGTGTGAGCACGCCCCCAGTGAGGGCGTTTCAGCGACGAGGTGAGATTCAAAAAAGCTGAAAAAAAAAAAAAAAAAGGAGGACAGAGATTTGGCCGTGAAAGCGAGCGGACACATTTCCTCAAGTGGCAGTGTGAAAATGCCCTCGGTGAGGGCCTTTGTGTATAAGGCGGAACATGCCCCTGCCTAAGGGCCTCGTTAGACACTCCTTGTGGAACCGAAATCCACAAGGAAATGATCGTTACACCTATCCTTGGGGACGATCGTCTAAAAAAAATGTGAAAACAACACAAGGACGTTTCCTTGTGGCGTCCTTGTGGCCACAGCCAATTTTCCCTAAACCCCAAGGGACCTCCCGAGGTCCCTCGTAACACAAGGAAGCGCGAAATTCGGAGCGACGAAGGCATGCGTCGACGCACAATTTCGGTCGGAGGGTGGTCCAGACGTGGTCCGCCAAAAGGGAGCACGGACATCTCCGCCTCGAAAGTCTGCTCGTCGTACCAACGGCTCCAAACGGTGACCGGCGGCACGAAGCCTCCGTCCTTCCGCGCGACTCGACGGCCACCGCCGTCGTGTGGTCTGCTCTGGCGGGCGATCGTCGACAACGGTCTGAAATTCGAAAGTTTTTGTACACGGCTCCCCGTTCGGCGACTACAGTTGTTCGACAGGATCGTCGTTTTCTTCCAGTGCCGTCACGCCTCGCACCGATCTTCCTTGTCTCGACGACCTTGTTTGTTGAACGGTCCACCGCCGACGTCGGTTTCATCCCCTACGAACGGCCCTTACATGGCCGACCTGCTGCACAGGCTTCCCCTGCTGTTCCTCGTCGTCTTGCTGCTTCTCGCCGTTGTCTTGTACCACGTGTGTCTCGTCGGCCTCGTCCCGGTCGCGTCTCGCAGAAGGAGATCTCCCAGGAAGGCCGACAGGATGGCTGGACGACTGCCGAACGGCAGACCGGCAGGCACATCCGGCGGATCTATCAATCGCCAACGCAGTGCGGGGTCGGTGGCGAAGCAGCCGTACGACTTGCCTCCGTCGGATGACGAGGGGGGGGAAGCCAGGTTGCCGACTTTGCCGTTGGGAAGCGGTTCTACGTAGGACTAGGCGGCGACGCAATCGTGCGGCGGCAGGGGGGTGGAGACGCCGTGGTCTTACACGTCACTTCTGAACGAGGGGTTGTGCGATGACGACGGTGATGTAGCGGTCGATCTGAGCTTTCATCTGTCGAGCAGCAGCGGACCAGCCGCAACGCACACTCGGATCATCAATCCCCACCCGGGTGGGGATTGCGCGGAATACACGCAAGGCGCTGTTTGCGGCCCACGAGACGGTGGTCTGCCTCAATCGGTTCGCGACGGTGGAGGTGATCGTAATAACTCGTCGCCGAGCGTCGGTGGAGGATTCGGTGCGCATAAACGACCGGACTGGATGCGTTTGTCGCCTGCTGCACGAAGCGGACCGGACGCTACTCGAGGGCGGCAGCCGGCAAAGGATTTGATTGGGGGAGTTCCGGACGTGCAACGCGACGGCAGGCAGGTCTGGGCAGAATGCAGGTAGGAGTTGCATCGAGGTGAAACGGAGACGATCACCAGAGGGGTGCAACGGCTGCACGTCGACGAAGTGGAAGACGCGGCTGTTGATGAGGGCCAGGGGTGTGACGACGTGGACGGTGAGGACGGTTGCAAGTTCGACGATTTACCAGACATCAGGCCGCTTGGGAGGAGGGCGACAAGAGGCGGATCCGGTGCGAAGAAGGGCCCCGCCACGAAACCAAGACGGACGAAGAACATGGATGACGATGGCGAGGGCGGCCGGAATTTTTGGTCGGTGGGAGACATGGTCGCGCTCGTGAGGGCGAAAAGGGATCAAGATCTCTATATCGCAGGCCTGGGGACTAGTTTCGCCCGCATGAAAACGGCCGTGTGGAAGTGGGAGGACGTGCGGGTGAGGTTGCAGGCGATGGGAGTGACGAGGGATGCCGTCGACTGCGGGAAGAAATGGGACAACTTGATGCAGCAATTCAAGAACGTGCACAAGTTTCAGAACCTCTCCGACGGGAAGGACTACTTCAGGCTTGCTTCGAGGGACATGCGATCGGAGGGCTTTAGCTTCGTCATGGACCGGAGCGTGTACGACGAAATGGAGGCCATGACGAAGGGGGATCTCACGATCCACCCGACAAATTTGGCGGACACTGGGGCGGCGGGGGGGTTCAAATGCCCGCAGGCGCGGGGGGGGATGGGGGCACCATGGGCGGCGATGGTGGAGGGGAGACGGGAGACGAGGAGCAGGGGTCGACGAAAGACTCGTCATTCAGCGCGGGAAGCAGCAAGGGTTATGGGAAGAGGAAGAACATGCGGCAACAGACCTTTGAAGCCGTCGCCGACGTCATGGAGAAGCACGGTGCGCTCATGGCGAGCACAATGGACAGCGCCGGCAAGCGGCAGTGCTCTATGATGTCGCGGTAGTGCGAAATCCTGGAGAGCGAGGTGGAGGTGCAGAGGAAACAGTATGCAGCGGCGGATGAGGCGAATAGAATGATGTGCAACGCGCTGCTGGAGATAGCAAAAGCCATCCGCGAGAGATCATGACTTGCGCGCACTTTCATGTCCATCTGCGGATAGAGAGAGAGAGAGCGAGAGAGTGTGTGTGTGTGTGTGTGTGTGTGGGCGGCCGGGTGGGTGGGTGGTCGGGTTTGTCGACGGCAGAAGCTTTGCACTGCCTTATTTTTAGAATTGTTCCTTTTGTTGTGTTTTTGTAATAAAGATTTTTTTTTTTTTCTGTGTTTCTTCAAACACGGCAATGCTCTGCGCCGCATTTGCGGTGTCCCTGGCGAGAGGGGCACGTGTTGAGTGGGTCATGCAGGTCGACGATTGCGCGGCGAGTGTCGTGGCAAACAAGGGGTGGGGGGGGTGGTGTTGGTGGGGGCAGTGCTCTGGAGGAAATTCACATCGGCCCCTGGTGTTGTATGGATGCGCGCCCGCGCAAGCGTGGAAGGGTCTGTACGCGCGGCGGGGACGGTGGGCGTCGCAAAAGCTGAAGGGCATGCGCGTGCAAGAGGTCTGGTGAGTTGCTGTCACACGTGTCGCTGTCGACAACGACGGCAGGCGAAGAATCGTGCTCGGGGCCCGTCCAACTGCTCCATGTTTCTGGCGGGCCTGCGCCTGCTCGAGCATAAAGCTGTCCTTGCGGCATATCCAGTACTGGAGGTCGTCACACACGGTGACCAGCGACGAAATCCGCGCGGGACGCCACCTGACTTCTTTCCTCGACGCACCGCGCAGCCATCGCATGGTTGCCCCTGTCTTCGCGCTCCACGAGTGGGGCTTCTGCACTGTCGTCGTCGATCGCGCCCGACGATCGTCTGTCAAGCACAAGGACGTCCACACGAAGCAGATTGTACTTATCGTCGTGGACAACTCTACATCGTTCGAAGGTGCGGCGTCTTTCACCACCGAAGATCTTGTTCTCGCCGCGGAGCGCTCTCGCCAACCACTGCGACACTAGTGCACGGGAATCATGTCTACGCGAGGCGTCAACCGTGGCAAGAAGCGGGAGAACGTCCCTGCTGACACCCAGGGGCGGGCAGGGGGTCGGCGGCATGTCCCCAAGCCGAAGAGGCTCCGTTCAGAAGAGCCATCACCAAGCGTGCCTGTCCGGCGAGGGAGGTATTGGGCTGCATCGAACGAAGACGAAGATGACGACGTGTTCACAACAGAGGAGGAAGCAGCAGATGACACCGTGGCGACACCCCGGGGCAGCAGTGTTCAAGCGAAGAATGATCAGGCCGCGTCGAGGAGATTGCTCACCCCCCCCCCGGAGGGGCAGCAAGGTCGTTGGCAGAGCAATACGAAAGCTAAGGAGGTTGTCGTCGACGTGGGCGACGAGGACAATGAGCCATTGGAAAGCCACAGGCAGCGAAATGCAATGCAAGGTGCCACGGCGACGGAGTAAGGATACGCGCCGCGCATGAAGAAAGGCCACCTCAAGGCGCCATGTCGTCCACGCTGTCACAGTCGTGACCGCGCAACATGGCTGTAGATGGAGGGTCTACCGAACGCGGGGGAGGCGAGGTGGCCCAGCAAGAAGCGCGCGTGGCGAGTGCTGGTGCAGGCGCGGGGTCCTCGGGCAATGTCGCTGTCGTGGCGGGGGTGAGAGAGGAGGTTCTTGTTGTGGAGCGGGAGGTTGCGCGCGGCGAGAATAAGGGCGAAAGAGAGGACGACGACCCCTTTTTAAGCCGGGAGTGGAGGGGAGGGTTGGCGAGAGATCTTGCCGCCCGTGCCCGCCTGTGGGTCGATGACAAAGCGTTCTGGACAACGGGGGAGGCGCGCCGGCTCTACGACATCGTCCACCGAACGCGGGAGCACTTCGAGGCCATCGCCAGCGGGGTGCAAGCGCCCGTCGTGTCCAGGAGCGTCGTCATGCCGAAATCCGCGACGACCCTCACGAGGATTGTTGATCCCGCTCAACTACAGCAAGCGATCATCCGTGGGGGGGCTGCAGAGAACATAGTTCTGCGCGTCTTGTATGGGTGGGTGTTCAAGTCAGGGAACCGCCCCCGCGGATACAATCTCGCTTTCCAGTACGCGTTGGAGTCGGTGGCGACGGACCTTGCGCGCGTTATGTGGTACGGCGAGGAGTGGAGCAACGTGGTGAGCGCGCCCGTTTGCTCGCACACGATCGACCTCAATATGGACTTGCCACTGTGGTTTGCGGGGGTGAACATCGATGACAGGCCGGAGGACGACGACATGGCTGCGTACCAGGAGTCGACCGTCGTGTGCGTCGCGTATGCATTTCGTGCCGCCGTGCAAATGGGTGGCAGCGTCGATGGCGGGTTCATATCGCACGATCATCTGTCGAGGATCGTGGATTGCTTCAGGCTGTTGTTGGCTGCCTGCATGTGGTTGATGCGCATGGCGGGAGACGATCATCGTAGCCACTACGAAGCCGTCTACTTCGTGCAGCTGGTCGTGAAGCCCACGCTGATCGCGTCCATGCATCGCGCCTTCGATCATCGAAGGTCCGTCATCCGAGCGACGAACGTCGTCACGGAGATTGGGGAAGGCGAACGCCACCTTAGGAGAGTACCCGAAGCACATCCCCGATTGGGCTTCGTGCGGCATCACGTTCGGCCATGACGCAAGCATCACGGGGCCAGAGGACGCGAAGAAGAGGGATTGGTTGGGTTCGGGCCCCTTGGAGGAGGACGGTGACGACAATGGCGAAAACGACGCGTAGGGGTGGAGGGGTGGTGTTGTGCTAGATTTCCTTGGTTTGCTTGTCGCTTGTCATGGCACGTGGACGGCGGGAATGGTGGCGGCGCGTCGCGACACAGATTGTTGTTGGTCTCTCCCTTCGTTCCGCACGAGCACAGCGTGTCTGTCGTGCGTGTAGACGCCCTCCGTTTTCGGCTGTCCACTCTGGCAGGGTGGTAGATGCAACTTCTCTCGTCGGTGGCCTTTGCTTGTTCATTTAGTTTGGCAGTTCGCAGTGTTCATTCGACGGTGCGAGGCGTTGTCTGCAGTACATTGTAGGAGCGGATTATTAAAGTTAGGTTTCCGCGATGTTGTTTCACGTTTCCTTGTCGGCGCAGCATGCGTCGTGTACATTCATAACGCGCTGGAAGCGCACCCTTTTTGTTCATGTCTTCGATTCGGGACGGATGTTTCGTATGTTTGCAGTGTGTGATTGCTCTCTTTCCTAACCTGACGGTCCATGCAGTGCTCGATGCACATTCACACATCTCATCTTCATTTGCACGTGCCATTTGCGATCGTCTCTTCGAAGACCTTTTTATTTTTTTTTTTCCCCTTTTCTTAATTTTTGTTCTTTTTTTTGTGTGTTCGCATTCCAGAACCATCCCAGTGGCATACAGTGCATGTGTTCGTGTTGCACTCATCAGTCGAGGGAATACTTGGCCGCAAAACATCAAACGAATCACAAATGCCAATGCACGACATTGACGCAATGAAACAGGCGCACACCGAATGCCAACACACAATGGAAGTGGGCGAAAACGACTGTCAAAAGTGCTTCCAATGTCGCAGAAGAAATCACAGAACTACAAAACTCTTTTTCGAAACCGAGATGGGGGGAAAGTTTCATGCCCACCCGAATGAACACCATACCTCTAACCTCTAAATGCGCTAACTCTTCTAGAAAAAGGCGCACCTCACACCCGCAATGAGCATGTTCCGCACTACTCCTGATTAACGGTATCCAAAAAAAAAAATTGAAAAAAAAAAAAAAAAAAAAGGAAACGCGACGCACATTTGTGGATTGCGAAGGCCAACCAAACACAATCGTCGACGCAAGCCGCCGACCACGACGCCTAACAGGGCTAGCAACCAAGAGGACGGCCGACGAGACCGCGATTCTTCCCTCCGACCATTGCACCAAGATCGCACTTCCACGCGCTGCCTTCCACCAGTCGAATGACGATCCTCCACAGAAACAACCAACCCCGTCGGGGTGTAGACGACAGCGACCCAATCAAGGGAGGACGGAAAGACCAATCTGGTGTCCGCCCATTGGTGCAATTAAGCCATCTTCATGTGCTGTCATCCATGAATGATACACGACTCATTCGTGTTTCATTCTTTCCTCCAGAGCATGCCTCAGGGCCAAGGCTTCGCGGGTCGACGTAAACATCGACACAGGCTGGAGGGGCTCGTCGATCCCCAGGTCCACTCGTCGTCGCACACCATTACCGTCGACCTCCCACAACAGATTCTCGTCGAAGGGGATCCCCGCGTCGATCAGTAAGTTGTGCAGTATGCAGACGGCGGTGAACTGCTGCGGGAGCGTCTCCAGGTTTGTCTTGTGTGTTCGGAGAAACAGCCGCCACATGCCCTTCAGCCTGCCGAACGCCCTCTCCACCACTCCCCTTGCCACCTTCTGCTTGTTGTCAAACCGCTCCTGCTCGACGCTCTGATCGATACCGCCGTACGGGACGACCATCCATTCGGCAGGGGGGTACCCATTGTCCGCTAGAAGGTAACCGTTCGTCTTCACACCGAACGACAATGTGACGGGGGGCCCGCGGAACAACGACCCCTCCTCCGCGCCGAGCGACAGGCTGGACAACTGCAGCACCCTGATGTCGTGGCAGCTACCGGGGTATCCCATGTGCATGTCCAGCACACGCAAGTCCAAGTCTACAACGACCTGCGCGACGATGGAGAAACGGCGCTTCCTGTCGTAGTAATTTTCGCTCGGACCATTCGCTGGCTTGTCGACGTAGATGTGAGTGCAATCAATGCAACCGTGGCAGTTGGGGAAGCCTTTATCAGCGAACGCCCGAAGAACGACTTGTTTACGAACTCCTGTCGGCCACGCTATCTTATCACCGAACACCCTCAGCAGCGCGGCAGTCACGTCGTGGACGGCAATCAGCCCAGAAGCTCGTCCGATCCCGAAGTTGCACGTGCTGCTTTAATCCCCTTCACCTGAAGCCCACCTGTACAGTGCGTATGCCACAATCTGGCCCGTCTGCAAAGGCTCCCTGTAGAACGTCACCTGCCGCTGAAGATGAGGCGCACACGCCTCCGCGATCTGCCGGAACACTCGCGGCGACATTCGCAGCTTATCGCGGAAGTAGTCATCAGTCGCGTCGTCGCATAGCCTGAGGTCTTCCCACGTTCCTCCTGTCCTGCGCTTCACCCACCACCGCGGCTTCGCGCGGGGTATCACTCCGCAGCCCAACGCATAGCACAGCTGAAAAACAGCTTCCGACGTCGCCACGAACTCGGCACCATTGTGCGGATCTTGCGTCAATGTCCTCCGTCTACGCGCGCGCAAATGCTCCTTCAGTCGCGCCAACGCCCTCTCCTGCTGACATCGAAGAACGATCGTCGACACGGCCGCCGCCACCGCCGGCAGCTCACCATGACTCAACACATCACGTCTAGCTGCGGCGCCGCCCTCCATAGCCCGTCGTTCCGCTGCCGTCTGTCTCGTCCTCCCGCGCCGGACGATGGTCCCGAACACGTCCGTTGAGAAGATGGCCCCTTTTCTCCGCTCACAACCCCGCGCACGGAAGCGAAGAGCAACGCGCAGTCGACGTGCACAAAGGTCCACGGCGATGGAAGCACAACACGCTGCGGGAGCAGATGAGGGAGCCCTCTGGACGTGGCCTCCGCCGCCGCCGGGCCCTTTTCCGCAGCACGACGCCGTCGTCCCGCCAGCCACACGTCGTTGTTGCTGTCGAAGCTGGCATTCGAAATTTGAATTTCGAATGCCCACGCTCTCGGGTTTAAATTTCTCCTCGCGCCGCCCTCAGACCGCCGTTTCCCGCCTCGCGTCGCTGGACCGTGCAGCCTCCACACGGACAAAGAAGCTGGACCAAGGACGACAGACCCCGCGGCTGCTAATTTGCGTATGAAAACGGCCGCGGGGAAGCCACAAGGAAACACCCTCGGGGGATGGCCCCAAGGATGAGTGTAACGACGCCGCAATTTCCCCTTCAAAACCACCAGGACGTTTCCTTGTGGCTCAAGGAAACCGTAGGAGTGTCTAACGAGGCCCTAAGCTGCCTTGACTCGCCGGCACAGGAACAAAAAGGAGGAAGAGAAAACACAACAAAAAAAAACATCAGCAACTCGCACTAAGATTGTTAAGATAACATTCTGTGAAGTACCCCGACATCGTTGATTGTGATGCAGTTCCTTCTTTCTTTCTTTCTTTCTTTCTTTCTTTCTTTCTTTTTTCCATTCATTTTTTTGTTTCCATGCATGGGACCCCAAGCCCCCGATTTTTCGGATGAGGCGCAACTTGCAACTTAAAGTTTGTGCTTTTGCCTGTGAAAGGTAGTGGTCCCGAGAAGACGGTAGTCTGCTTGGGTGACTGCCTCTTTTTTTTTTTTTTTTTTTTTTTTTTTTTTCGTATCACACTGATCAGAAAAAGGAACTACACTTGATCTCAGCCAAAAGGCGCGGAAACCCTTTAGGATGGAATTGAAATTGAAGTCTAGGTGCCTTCTTAAAATAAAAAAAATAAATAAAAAAAATCTAGGTGGCTGACGTCGCCTTCAGTACTGCTCCTGTTGTCTATGAATGAATGCCACGTGTTGCCTCCCCCCCCCTTCCTCCATGGTCGTCACCTCCGCCTCCACTGCGTGCCTCCCATCCTGGAAACCCTTCCTGCTGCATTTATCCCCCGGCCGCCATGTGGCAGCAGTAAAGGACGGCCTTCGTGGGAGTCGTACTATTCCATGCCATTGGCCTTTTCTCGGCAAGCTACTCTCTCACCGCACTTACAGCTTTGCCCCCGCCAAAAGCCCCCCCAACACTGCGCCCACCCCCCCCCCTTCCCCCCCCCCCCCCCTTCCAAAACGCGTTGGCTGTTCCCGACGGCCGGTCCGTGATCGACAGCTAGGGGGCTGCCATCGTCCCCTGAACAGAACGCAAGGTCATTATAGCTGTATTTGGGGCAAGTTTCCGCCCAGAAACAGAGATAAAGTGAGCCGTGCGTTCTATTCGGGGGAAGCTGATAGGTCGCCCTCGCGCCTGTTCATCACTGTTGACGGTAGATTGTGCGCAGATCCAATCCATGGCCATAGTACGACCGATCGAATCCCCCCGGGCAATCTGATTATTCCCAGACTGTCTCTAACAGGATTCTCTCGTCCGGATTCGTCAAGAGCGAAAATAAAATTATGTCCAGCACCTCTGAAAACACAGGGATTACCCAAAAAAAAAAAAAAGCAAAGCGAAATTTTGTTTGGTACAACCCAGAAATGAGCGGATTTCTAATCTTTAATTATTTTAATACCTGATCCGTGCTCCATTGGACCCCATGATAGCAATTAAAAAAAAAAAAAAAAAAGGTCTAAGAAGGAGAAAACGGAAAACAATCTCCTGCTTTTGTCACAGCACAAATCAAAGAAAAGAAAAAGAAGTGCGCGTTTGCTGATATGAAAAAAAAGTGAATCGGGCGCGGGTCATAGGATTAGTTTTGCAGCAGAATTTTGTTTTGTACAACACCCGAATGAGCGGCGGCGGGTTTGCTCACATTAGAAAAAAAAAGAAGGCGAATCGTCTGGGAACGATACACAGAAGATTAGAACGGCCCCGGTGCAAGGATGACACGCATGTTAAATCAATCCAGAAGCGGTCCAAAAAAAAATAAAAAAAAATGGAAGAAAAAGTGACCCACCCCATCATTTCGATACTAGGTTAATTCTGTTTATAACTAGCGGACAGGCAGAGGACTGCCTTCTACATATAATATTACATCTATGCGATTATCGTCATATTAATGAAGATCTTTTTCACTTTTCGCTTCTTCATCCCTACAGAGTATCTTCAAGTTTTCTGCTTTCCTCGTCGATTCGCGGCCATGCCCCACGCTTCTGCTTTCGGGTACAAAGAGCGTGTTGTCCCTGCCATCCGATCTGACAAAAGATCTCACGGGCACACCTGTGACCCCGCTGAAAAAAAAAACTCGAAACCAGAACATAACCTCCCCACGTGGGGCACGCCCCTCCCCCCACGGATCCTACTTTTCAAGAGAGGTTACAGGAAACAGTCAATCAATCGATACTATTTGTTACTTAGTTCGATTCCTTCTATTACATCTCACACGTACACACACACACACACACACACACACACACACAGAGAGAGAGAGAGAGAGAGAGAGAGAGAGAGAGAGAGAGAGAGAGAGAGAGCACTGTGAATATTCCCGGTCAAATCCTGCCATGTTTCTCCTTGCGCGCCGAGATAATGGCGCGAACTCAGGTGAGTGGCCTCACGAACTCAGCGTAGGCAGGATGACGCAAATGGGCAACCGGCAAGAAAAGGAAAAGGGAGGAAACGAAAAGAAACGCCTGGATGGAGCGCGTCCTGCAAAAATCGACGGAAAAAACTTCTTTTTCCCGCCTGCCCGAACGTTCGTTTGATGTTCTTTAGCACTTCTTTTCGTTCGCACGCCGGCGTGCGCGCGCGTGCGCGCGTGTGTGTGTGTGTGCGCGCGCGCGTGGGGAAGATCGGCAACGAAAGGAACTAGCACACAACTGCAGAAACGGTCCAGGTTCGTATGAAAGATAAGCCTGCTTTCACATCGCTGGAGTCTTGCAGAGAGGGGCCAACTTTCACCCCTTCGCTGCGTTTCCGTCACAGGCGCACGTACTACACCACCTCTCTCTCTCTCTCTCTCTCTCTCTCTCTCTCTCTCTCTCACACACACACACACACACACACACACACACACACACACACGCGCAACAAGAAAAAAAGTGTTCCCACATGCGCATACCGAAGTTAGAAACATGGAGTATCCGGAAGATGGAAAGCAAAAGAATACCTCTCGCCATTGAGATCAAGTAACGAAACCATACTGAGTTTCACAGAAAACGAACTGACAAACTGAGGAGAAAGGAACTGACACACTCGTGAGAGTAAGAAAAAAGAGGCGGAGAGAAGACAGGAGACAGCTGCGGATAAGTGAGGAAGTGGGAAGGGGCAAGAGGAAACAGGGGGGGGGGGGATCTCGGGAAAGGAAGTCGACTCAGGTGGAGTGAACGAACTCACTCGACAAAAGGTGCACAGATTTGCGCCTGTCCTCCTTGTCTTCCGTTGGCAGAAAAAAAAACATTCGGCATCCAAAAATGGAAGATCCGATCGGAACCGATTTCCCGATCACCAGGTCCTGGTCGTGCCCTGTGCCTGTGGTGGACCGTGCTGCTCACTTTGCACCATTCTTCTTCGGACTCCCTCTGTCTACTAACCTCTCCTTCCCTTTATCATGCCAACACCTGCTCTCTCTCTCTCTCTCTCTCTCTCTCTCTCTGTGTGTCGTGGACACACACGACGGGCGGGGGGGCGGGGGGGTGTTATCTACGGGTGTCTGTCATCGCCATCACACGACCGGCATGGAGGACAGCTTCCGGAGAACTTGCGGCTCACGATGTGATAACACGGAATGGCGGTAGATGAAGTCGCACACGCTCATCGGCGCCAACAGCTCTGAGCTCTGGCGTTCTGTATGACCTCCCTCTGGCTCGACGTCGGAGTTTGGACCGAGTTTCGGCATCCACGGATTGTGAGAGAGTGCGCCCTACAGTCCGACTTGAAACTTGGGCTTTCGTTTTCCTTTTTTTTTTTCATCTATTCTTTCGTTTTAATTCAGAGTTAGTACTCATCTCATTCCATTGTAATTCCGACTTGTTGAGGGCCCAAGATGTTGAGACCGCATTCACACTTAGGATTTTTCATCTTCACGTGGATGTAATTAAGGTCAAGTGCATCCAGGAAACAGAGTGTGAGTACACCCTGAGTTTTCGAGAAAAGGTTTCCGGAAAAAATAAAACAAGAAAAGGGAATGCTCCCGCCTCTTCCTCTTTCTGCCATTACCCCTCTTCAAACGCGCGACGCGTGGTCCGATTCTGCCATTACCCCTCTTCAAACGCGTGGCGCGTGGTCCGATTTATGTATGGGACGGTTGTTTGCCGCCATATTCATTCAAGAGGGTGTACTACGGTAGGTAGTGTGAGCACGCCCTTTGTAGTTCCATGGTGGCAGACCTGCCTCCCAATGGGTCAGAAATTCGTGTTCGGCTAGTACCTGAGGGCGTGCTCACAGTGCCTCTTGCCTGGACGCTCCTGGACATTCGGTCGGCCAGGTTCCTAAATAACTCCTCAGGTCGCTATGCCCTCAATCAGGCCCAAGTTCCTGGAAATAAATGAGCAGGCCGTCTGATACGAACACGAACATGCCTATTGTGTGTGAACATGCGTATTGTTGACAATTCGCAGCCAGGATGGCTGCGTATAGACCGATGTCCGGTTTCCATTTGGGGAATGTCGTCGACAGGGTAAGTGGGTTTAGAGGGCGTTGTTGCGCCAGAAATAGGGTCGCAGTCTACCGGTAGTCTTGCAAGGGAGCGCCGCGGCGTTCGCGGGAGAACGGTGCGGTGGCGTTGAGAACAGTGGCGTGCGTCCGGTCGCACTGTGGCTTTCCAGATATAGGAATGTTTTTATTATGCTATCTGACCGTTATTTGTCCGCTGAGATCGAGGGTATCAGTTCGGCAAAAACGATGGCGGTGTATCTTTCCGTCTTCTATAGGAAGAATAATTTTCATTTTGCACATATGGAGACCAGCTGGCAGGATGGGAGTCTTCTATAGGAAGAATAATTTTCATTTTGCACATATGGAGACCAGCTGGCAGGATGGGAGTATGGTATAGCAGCAGCTGAGACCGTTGCTCCG